AAATTCACTTAGCACACTTCTGATGAACTACTACGAAGCAAAGCTTTTGCATGTTTGCAAATTATGGATTTCATCAGTCTTAAATAAAGTCAGATTGTTCCTCATAGCATATTAGGAGCTGGCTCAACATCAATGAAGCTGTCATTTTGAAGAGGCATGTGTGTGGCAGGTGAAATCTTTATTATTACAAGCTGAAAACATAAGCTTGGTCAGTTCAAAATATAAACTCAAAAAGGAAACTTACATTCACTGGAAATTTTCTCCAGTTTATATTTGGGTTGTAAATTGCCTACAACTACCTCTCTCTATCCGAACAAAGCTCAGGATGGAAACTGAGTACTAAATATTGAAAAGCAATTTTCTAAAAAGGATTTAATAATCTAGTCACTATTTTACATGTGTGTAACACATAACAGCAATAAGAAAAACAGCTTACTACTGTGTACCTTGAGTCTACACTCATCAAAAACAAACAAATAAACACTAGGGGCTGGAGAGATAGCACAGTGGGTGGGGCGTTTGCCTTGCATGCTGCCAACCCGGGTTCGATTACCAGCACCCCATATGGTCCCTTGAGAACCGCCAGGAGTCCAGGAGTAACTCCTGAGTGCTGAGCCAGGAGTAACTCCTGTGCATCGCCAGGTGTGACTCAAAAAGCAAAAAGAAAAAAAACACAACTATTTTTCATAAATCTGTATAGGTATTATTTCACTATATCCCTTTAAAATTGTCAGGAAAGGGTAAATATCCCAATTAATCCATGGTACATTTTTCAAAATTGTTCATTAAATTCACTTCAATCTGACTTTAATACCATGGTTAGAAGAGATTTAGGTGGAAAATTAGAATTTGCCCCTACTTATTTTATATACTTAATCCCAGTGTAGGACATCTTGTAGATGAAGAGGATAAGAGAATGATGGGTATCAGGATCCAAATTCAATGACTAATTAATTAATGAATTTATTTTTACTGTAAAGCTGATTTGCTACTTTTTCATCTTTATTTATTTATTTATTTTGGCTTTGGGGCACACATGGTTGTGCTCAGTGCTTACTCTTGACTGTGCACTTACAGATCACTCCTGGCAGGGCTCAGGGGACCATATAGAATGCTGAGGATGAAACTTAATAGACCACATGTAAGGTAAGTACCTTATCTGCAGTACTATCACTCCAGTCCTTTCAATGACTATTTTTTAACCATTGTTTAGAAAATTGCACCAGTCTAGCCTCCTATAAGATTTTGTAGCCCATAATCAGAATGAAATTCTTGATCAAATACATTCTTTTACCCTTTCTAGGAGCTGGAGCTGTAGCACAGTGGGTAGGGTGTTTGCCTTGCATGCGGTGAACCAGGCCAACCCGAGTTGAATTCCTCCACCTTTGATTCCTCTGCCACTGTTGTAGAGCCCGGCAAGCTAATGAGAGTATCTCGCCCACACAGCAAAGCCTGGCAAGGTAACGTGGCGTATTCGATACGCCAAACACAGTAACAAGTCTCACAGTATTATTGGGCCCATTTGAGCTAATTGATGAACAATGGGAGGACAGTGACAGTGACAGTAACTCCTTCTAGAAGAAATAAATGAGAAAAATCTAAGGAAACAAGCTGAACTTGTATTGATAGCTTTTGTTTTTAAGCACTATTCCACATTTACACTACCTGTGTGCACGAAGCCAACTGCACATTTTGGGACGGACTTAAATTCAAAACACTCTAGCAAAAGCTAGGGCCACCACCCCATTCAATCACCATACTTAGCTTGTGCTCTTGATGTCTGGAAAGAAGCAAATGTCTAACATAAGGCACGGAAGAATATTTGAGAAGATTTAAATGAGAAGCCTACAGCAGAGAACTAAGAGTGTGTACCCTAAATACTACTAGAAGTAATCCTTGAGCATAGAACAAGCAGCCCTGAGCATTGCTGAGTATGACCCAACTCCGTATTCCCCAAAATGTGAATGGAAGCCAGATGCCATTATGAAAGAAGATTAAATCCATATTACATGAGTTTCAGACCTTCCTTAAATTTCTCAGAATAGACATGTAATATGTCTATGAATATAACATTCTGGGGAAATTAAGTAGGTAGTATATAAATGAGAATGAATTATAGAGAATTATATAAAGAAGTAAATAAAGTTGATCTAACAAGAGATGAAAAAGGACTCAAAGGCACAGTCTTATACCAAAGATGCAAATTTGCATTTTTCTTAAAGAGGCCCATGTATTTTTTCTCCTCTGCTCTCTCATAAAATTTTGTCTTGCCCCACTATTCTTATGCCATTAAGTAAAGTTTTTACACATATTCCACTTTATTCCTTATACATAGAATACTCAGACTACTTTGGCTCTGTACTCAGGAGTAATTCCTGTGGTGCTCAGGGACTATGTCTTGTCAGATCAGATGAAAAGCAAAGACCTGCAGTCTGTACTATCTCTCCAGCCCACCAATTTCATTGAAACAACATTTTTTTGTCATCAACATCTGGCTCCCTACCTCTTTCTTGCCTCCATGAAGCGGCATTCCCTGCTACATTCTTCCAGGGAAACTTCCAAGAACGCTGCAAATGTGTGAAACAGCTCTCCCCCCCACCAAAAAAAAAAAAAGAAATCTGTGATTTTTCCACATGCCAACTGTGCTCAGAGCTTACTCCTGATTCTGCACCCAGTTATCACTTTTGGTGGTCTCAGGGGACCATATGTGGTGTTGGAGGATCAAACCCAGGTCGCCATTTGCCAGGTAAGAGCCCTACCCACTGTATTATCTATCCTATAATTATAGTCCCTGTAATTTCTTCTTGGTTTAGGGTTCTATAAACTTATGGATGGAGGATACCAACAGTCCATGCTGTTGCTTCTTTCTCGTTACTCCTCGGTCTGAAGTGAACCGGTCTCTGTTCAATCAGAAACTTAGAATCATTCTCTGGAACCTCTCTCATTCTCTGAATGATGGTATGCTTGGAAAATATCTTCTACTTAATGATCATTCTCTCTAGTACCTGGGCTCAAGTATCTCCTCTTAGTGTCCACTGCAAAATCAAAACATGACTTTGGGCAGCTCTAGTGTTTATTTCAGGTCCTCTCTTATGTACACACACACACACACACACACACACACAACAAATACTGATTGAGGATCTGTATTTATATTACTTGGTGTAATGTTGGGGGATGGAGCAGCCTTGCACATGGCCGACCCGGGTTCGGTTCCCAGCATCCCATATGGTCCCCCTAGCACTGCCAGGAGTCATTCCTGAGTGCAGAACCAGGAGTAATCCCTGAGCATCGCTGGTGTGACCCAAAGAACATTTAGTATTATGTTTAAGAGGAATAGACAGGTAAAAACATGACTCCAAGCCTGAAGTATATGTTTTAAAAACACTTTCAGCTCTCTGGCCAGAGTGATAATAAGTAGTAGGGTATTTGCCATTCATGCAAGTAATTGGGATTTGATCCCCAGCATACATTCGGTCTTTCAGGCTCACCGGGAGTGATTCCTGAGCACAGTGTCATAACAAGGCTCTGAGCACATCTAGGTGTGGACCCAAACAAAATCAGAACACTCCTGGCACTCAGAAGCCAATTCTTATCATCGTCCTTCATTACCTTTATGAGATAAAACAGAACATGAACACAGAGCGAGGGTCCTGTCTCAAATTCTGGATCCTGGCACTAAAGACCCCCAGTTAATAAGATGTTTAAACTGAGTTATTGTCAACAATGTATTAGGCAAATGTTAATGTTTATTACCATTGCTTAGATGATAAAAGAGTGTCAGTTAAGAAGGCCGAGATTGAGATTAATACTTAACTGAAATTTTTACTGCTGGTTTCTATTTTATTGCTTCAACATACCGAGCCCATTATATTTTATGTGAAATTGCATATAAGAAATTATTTTATCTTCCCAAAGGAAAGAACAGCTAGAAACGAACACCTTATGAGATGTTTGCAGTCTGCCAGGACTGTGAAAAGAAAAGTTTTAATTTCTACGTCAAAACTATGAGTTTTACTTAAAAAATTAAACACATTTAAAATACAGCAAAAGTACACTAATGTTTAAATCATAACTAAACCCCAATGACTGATTCTAACCCGTGGGATACACGTGGTCAAGTAAATAAACTATTATCTAAAAAAGCAAAACAGTAGGGTATGTAGACAAAAATAACAGCTGGTATCTATAACCTAACCAATTTAATTCCTAGAATAACCACATGAAAGAGGCACTATTACTTCTATATTTCAGATATGAAAATGGGCTTAGGTAATTTAAATAATAAGACCAATATGATATGGTTAGTATGTGAGTTCAGCAAGTATTGAGCACAGATGTGTCTCATTTTAATATAAAAGCTAAGTATTAAATTAACTTCTTGTATGCTTAGTAGCCTAGATCCAGGTTTAAGATCACATATTTCTAGTAGCTGAAATACTTTTTTTTAACAACAGACTCCCTCATAAATTTGTAGTTTTGAGATTTGGAGATGTTTCTAATGACAAGCAAATCAGGTAACATTTGAATGGGTTCTTTATTCATTGTTATTAGAAATGAGACAGGTATCTTTTCATACGTCTCTGATTACCTCTGACAGGATCAGACTATGATCACTCACAGTGGAATAAACGTGACATATTTCTGTGCAAACTGATTAGCCGGGGATGAATCGATATTTCTCTGAGTCACTTGAAGGCACATCTCTGCATTCCCAGTTCAACTGTGACAAATTTAGTCAAAGTCACTTATGGATACTTAAAAAGACAATAGCCAGTAGCAAATTACTCTTAAACTTTTAAACGATGCCATCAGACAGGAAGCATCTGCCGTGCCTTGGATATTAGTTAACCCTGAACTTGCAAATAGAAACACACTTAATCCCCAGCAGTACCTCTGAACCAAGAGAAATCTGGAATTAATTGCCAAGTGTTTGGGTTTCCCTTGCAGCTGGTGCAAGTGTTTGATTTGGCCAGGGAAGCGCCAAAGGCACTGCATACCAATTTCGTGAGCCACCGTGAAAGCTGCATGCAGACCGTCATCTTCAATGACAGCACAGCTGCGCTCTGGAGAACATATGGTCCCCACGTCTGCCATCCCCAGGGTGTCACATGAATGATGCCCACATAAATCCTGCGAGGAGAAAGAGAGAAATCATTAAAACCAAGTTACCTCCAGAAAGACCACCTTGTAAAATCACTTGATGACTCCAAATGGTGAAGTTGAAGTATGTTGCTGGTGTCACCTTTTCGGTTTCGGAAATGTTCCAAAGGTGACCTAATAACATTGACCCTTCACAGTATTTCTGGACCCCAGAAGCACTTAACTATGATGGGACCCAGATCCACTTAAAAACTTTGTTGCTTGTCAGTTGTCATGGAAGCTGTAGTTTTCAGAAAGGTGACACATGAGGAGATTCACGGTGAGTTGAAGACCTTCATTCCTATTTCAATTTTTGGGAAATGTGAAGAAAAATCACTTTTTTGCTTTTTCCCTGTTTTGAAGGTGTCAGGGATGGAACATTGGTCCCTTGCATACAAAGCATGTACTCTAGCCTTTGAACTATCTCACACCTTGTCCAACTTTTGGCATTTCTTCATAAAGATTTTCCCAGAAGATAAAGCAGTTTGAGCACGTATGTGAAAGGGAGCTACTATATCACTGTCTTACTATTGTGATATTAGGGGCCAAAGAAAGTATGGTGGGTAAGGCATGTGGCTGACCTGGTCCCCGATCCCTATATAGTTCTCAGAGTTTACTTGAAGTAACCCCTGGGCACTCCTATGTGTGGCTCCAAAACAAAGACTGAAACAAAACAAAACAAAAACCAAAAACAACCCCACAAACAAAACACAACCCAGTATTTTTATACTATTTATCAGGCTTTTAAAATGGTTCTTCATTGATAAACTATGACTGAAAGACTTGTAGAATAGCTTTGGCAACATGTTTGAATTCTAAGGGAAAATATTAACTTCACATTGTTGTACATCACAGAAATAAAGTGAACAGATACCATTTTTCAGGAAAAAAGGTGCATAGCACATATATAGGCACATATATCAGTGATCATATTCATGTATAATCATGTTTAGAAAAGCCCCCAAATTCTAACCCAAATTCATGATAAATTTTTCCACAAGTCTGGCCTATCAATGTCCTCCAACCCCCTCCCATCACAGGGGCAAACTACAAATGCATATTTGTGGTGAAATATGAAAGATCAGTAACTGGGATAGGAAACTGCATTTTCATTTAAGTATAATATCTTGGAAGAGCACCTTAATTTCCAAATAGAGTTGTACTTCATAGGCTGTGGCCTCAGAAATGCATGAACTCTTCCTCCTAGCACGGAATCTAGTGTCTATCAATCTGCTTCATCTCCCAAAGTGTATGTAATATATGGTGCTTCTGCGAGTATATGCATTGCTGTTTTTTTAAGTTACATGGAGCGATAGCACAGCGGGTAGGACGTTTGCCTTGCACGCAGCCAACATGGCCGACCCGAGTTCGATTCCTCTGTCCCTCTCGGAGAGCCCGGCAAGCTACTGAGAGTATCTCGCCCGCACAGCAGAGCTTGGCAAGCTCCCCGTGACGTATTCAATATGCCAGACACAGTAACAACAAAGTCTCCAATGGAAACGTTACTGGGCCTGCTCGAGCAAATCGATGAACAACGGGAGGGCCTTTACCTTTTACCTTTTATATTGCTTTTAAGAGAGTCCCCAAAAGGGAGCATGATTATTGCACTTCATAAGTGATTATAAACATGGTCAACTGGGATAAAAGTGATATCAGCAAGACTTTCAAAGACATGAAGCATAAAAACAAATCATAAGTCAAATTATTTGGCAGATGTATAATAAGAAACCTTCCCTGAACTGCTACTGGAGAACTGCAAGACATTAGAATTTCTTGTATTCCTTGTGCCTAACTATTGGTTTGCGTGAAAATTAATTAAAAACAGATATTCATTTATAGTCACAAAAGGCTCTAGGACTCCAGAAAGTCATAAGTGACTGTATTTCCTTTTAAAGTGCTTCTTTAATGGGACAGGAGGGATAGCATAATGGGTATGGCTCTTCCTTGCATGAGGCCGACCCAGTTTGATTTCCTGAGCATCACCAGGAGTAATTCCTGAGTGCAAAGTCAGGAGTAAGCCCTGAGGATTGTTGAGTGTGACCCCAAAAGCCAAAAATAAAATAAAAGTTTTTTTAAAAGTATAAATTACTATAAAAGTTAGAATTTACAAATTTAAAGTGTGTTTCTCTCATTTGTAGCTGTCATGTTGGTAATCTCTGATACATAAATGTCTGAGCTGGCAGATACACCACAAACACTTGAACCATTGGGGTGGCTGTGACTTATAGTCAGACATCACAGAGATCCCTTATGCCTTTAATACATTGTGTGTCAGCAGAGCACGGCAGAGTCTGGCAAACTACCCATGGCGTATTCAATATGCCCAAAACAGTAACAGTAATGAGTCTCACTCCCCTAACCCTGAAAGAGCCTCCAATACTGCATTGTTGGGAAAGATGAGTAAGGAGAGGCTGCTAAAATCTCAGGGCTAGGACGAATGGAGAAGTTACTGGTGCCCACTCGAGCAAATCGATGAACAACGGGATGACAGTGATACAGTGACACAGTGTGTCAGCAGAACCTCAAAGTCTTCTGAAAACTAAAACTAGGCAACACAGTCACTGCTAGCTACTCCATGGCAACATATTTTTTTCACCTCTTCTCCATTTTGCTAATAAAAAAAAATTAGTGATGTTAATAAGGAAGACTGCAGTGATATGCCCTGTGATCTCATCAATACATTTCCAGGTCCCTATTGTGTTTTTGAACATGCATGTGAGACTGTAGCTGCAAGGAATAAGCTAGTGGCTATTATGTTATAGCTTCAGACAGTGAAAATCTTGGTCAAGCAGCCCTGTCAATCAAGGCACCAAAGCAACACCCATCCCTCAAAGTTTCCTGTCTATCTTCCTATGTCATCCTGTGGAATCTCAAATTACGGTAGTTGGGAACAAATGAGTAGTTTTAAATTGGAATTACTTTCACATAATAATCTGTCTTTGAGATAATGATATAGTGCAATCCATTTTTAATTCATTCCCCCCTTGATGGATGATTTTACTAGCGTTAAGGTTCAGGTCAGGGTTCCAGTGACTTGTGAGGCAATGCAGTTATTTCTGACCTCAGTAAATGGTGGACGGCAGGGATCCAGACCTCAGTGTTAATGCTCCAACTTTTCAACACCAAGACTTATGTTTATCTTCACAAATTTAGTATTCATTATAATCAAATAATAAAATTCAAAAATGACTTTTTTTTTTTTGCTTTTTGTGCGACACCTGGCATTACTCCTGGCTCCTGGTCTGCACTGAGAAATTACTTCTGGTGGTGCTCGGGGGACCACATGGGGTGCTGGGAATAGAACTCGGGTCGGCTAAATGCAAGGCAAACGCCCTGCCCACTGTGCTATCATTCCAGCTCCAAGAATGATTTTTCTTAAACAAATATCTGCATTAATAAAGTTAGAGGATGAGTCACAACAAGAGGAAATGGCCATCTATTTAGAAGGGTCTTGAACTGGATCTTTAATATTTCTGACTGGCAAGCTGCTGAGAGTATCTCACCTGCACAGCAAAGCCTGGCAAGCTACCTGTGACATATTTAATATGACAAACACAGTAACAATAAGTCTCACAATGGAAACATTACTGTTGTGCTCGAGCAAATTGATGAACAACGGGAGGACAGTGCTACAGTGCTACAGTGCTTATGGTAATCAAGTGCTCATTAGACGTCATCAGTACTCCTTGTCATACTTGAATCACATCAATGCATCTGGTCCTTTGCCATGGAAATGTGTGTGTGTGAGAGAGAGGCAAAATTATGAACAGAAGTACTTCTTTTAAAGCACACTGATTAAACCTCTTGACTCCTCATTCATACTCCATATATCTCTATAATTATAATTATATAAAGTAACAAACTTTCCATTTTATTCATGCAATTTCTACCATACAGCCCAGTTATGGCTGAAGCTTGACATTCAAAAGATTTATAGTGAAGGCCTAAATTTCTTTGTGATCTGATGTTCTTCCTAATTTATTAAATACTCAACTTATGCATCCATTTATTAAGAACAAAGCATATCACATTAACATCATATTTTAAGAGCAGATGATTTACAATAACATTTTCAAGTTTCAAATATTATCTGAAGCTTGTAAGAAGGTTTGTTAAAATATATGTGACCAAGAAATAAGAAAAGTATTTGAACATTGACACCTAGCTATCATTCTATCTTTCAGATCTGGTAGGGGAAAGGAGAGACTGAAGAAATATGAGTCATATAGTGTCCAGATGAGAGACAAATGAACGTAAAGTTCTAACAAGAATTTTCTCTTGGTTAAAGTCAATCTAAAGGTTGATTGTATTCTTGTTACATTAAAACTGGCTCATTCCCTGAGGATCAATGTCTCATTACCATGATGGAGACAGCAAGGAAACGAAAGATTTAGTAAAATGTAAAGGTTACTATGGTCAGTAGACACAAGGACTAGAGGATTGGTCCATGGTTGGAAGCCTGCCTCAAGTGCTGGGGGAGAAGGCAGTTAGGATAGAGAAAGGACCACTATGACAAGGATAGTTAGAAATGATCACTCTGGGTAAGAACTGTGTGCTGAAATAGGTAAAGGAACACACAGAATTAACCTCTTAATATCTATATTGCAAACGATAATTTCCAAAAGAAGAGAGAGAAGGAGGCGGGGGGGGGGAGAGAAAGAGAGAGAGGAGAAGGAAGAAGGAAAGTGCCTGCCATAGAGACAGACTGGCAAATGGGGGGGGGGTGAGTGATGGTGGTGGGAAATATACACTGGTAAGGGATGTGTTGGAACACTGTATGACTGAAACCCAACCATGAGCAGCTTTGTAACTATGTACCTTACAGTGATTCAATTAAAATATCTAAGGGCTGTAAAAACTTTTAGAAATTTAACTGGTGAACCTGTGGTGTCCCATTGGCCAGCAGACATGACCAGTCACTGCATCAAGTCAAAAACAGACAGAATGGTCAGCAAGACCAACACAGATTACAGAGAAGTCATTAGTCTAAG